CAGGCGGGCATGCTGAGAACGCCTTCTGAATTCCCACGCACAGGGGCTCAGAGAAGGACAGAAGGTATGTGTAGACGTCCCTAGAGGGGGTGTTCCTGTCCTGTCTGCCGCCTCTGGCTAGAAGGGCACCAGAGGGTGACCAGGTAGGGGCTGTCTTGGTGGCCTGAGAGCCACAGGAGTGGCGGGCAGGGTAGGGTCAGGTTGACCGAGCCAGCCCCGAGTTGGGCGCCACCATCAGGGGGTCAGGAAAGGGGCAGGAGAGGGCAGCTGGGTCACACAGGCTGGGCCTGGCACCCAGCACTGGACAGCCAGGTGGCCACTCACCTTGCTGGGCCTCTGAGCCCGGGCTTGTGCTCTGAGATGCAGGCGTGGTCCTGGGAGGGACCCCAGAAATGGTTTCTGTGGAAGCTTTCTAAGTGCTCTGGGGTGGGGGGGTGGATGGGGTGTTGGAAATGCAGGGAGCAGGGAGCAGGGTTACCTGAGCAGGGGTACAGGTGCAGGGAGCTACTTTGGTGAGCGTCAGTGCAGGCGGTGCTGCTTCTGCAAGGTGCATGTGCATTGTCTTGCCCTCCGCCCAGTGCGCGTGCCTGCACCTTCTCTCTGGGTACATTCTACTGTCATTGACATTGCCCCTGAACTCTGGGATGGGGACTACCAGGTGGCCCTGAGGGCTGGGGGCTAGGCTGTTGAGATGCTTATGATCTCAGGACCCCTCCCCTCCCAGAGTTGATGGCCAAGTGCACCTGGAGGGTGGACCTGTCTATCCCCCCCCTGGGGCGGCCCTGCTCCACACCTTCCCCTCTCTGAGCCTTCTCTGTCTTCCTGGTCCTGAAGTCGGCCTGCTCACGTGACTCCATCCCCAATCCAGGCCTCTCCCCTCCCCTCCCCTGGTCCTCTGTGTGCCCACTCCTGTCCCTCCCTGGACACCCACATCTCACCCCGAACTTTACTGGTCTGCTAGGGCTGGTGAGGCAGGTGGTGGCCTCTCATGGACCCCATGCTCCCATCATTCTCTGGACTCTCCACATCCTGAGGGTCACAGGGACCCTCTGTCTCTGGGCCTCTCCCTCCCCCCCTCTCCCCAGCTCCACAGTCACCCTGTCCCTGGGTCTCAGGCCCAGCGTGTCCTCGGCAGGAGCCTCCTCTGCCCCTGAGTGGCCCTCTCCCAGCTCTGTAACCTGTCCCCTCTGGGGCTGAGGGACTTCCTCCCACCGTGGTCCCCCCAGGGGTCACCATAGAACCGGGCACTATACAAACATTCAGGGAATGAATCAATGAACCCGTGGATGAGCAATCGAATGAGTGACTGTATGAGAGACGGAGTGTGTGAGTGAAAGAGGAATGCATGCAGTGAGTGGCTGAACACATGAGCGAATGAATGAATGAGCAGATGGGCAAATGAACAAGTGAATCAGCAGAGGAACGGATGCATGATCACATCAGTGAATGGCAGCACCAATGAGTGAACACATGAGCCAATGAATGAGCGGATGGCCAAATGAAGAAGTGAATGAGCAGGTGAATGAATGCATGAAATGACAGCACCCATGAATGAACACATGAGCAAACAACTGCGGGAGTGAATGAATGAACAAGTGAATGATCGCAGAAGGAATGAATGCGCGCATGCATGAATGAGCTAATGGACAGATGCACCAGGGAAGGCAACAGGAAGGAGCACCGTGACGGCCCCCTCCCTGGCTCCCACTAACCCCCCCTCTGTGCCCCCTCCACAGCACCCTGAGGTGTCCAGGTGGAGTCTCCATGGCTTCCCTGAGCCGGGCCCTGCGGGTGGCCTTCGCCCACTCTCGGCAGAGCCCCGCTCAGGGCCTGGGACTCTGCCCCCTGAGCAGCGCGGCCAGACCCCCGGCGGAGAAGAGTGTGCCATACCAGCGGACGCTGAAGGAGGAGCCGGATGGCTTGGAGGCAGCCCGAGGCCCGACTCGGCCCCTGCCCAGCACAGCCAGCGTGGTGGTCATCGGCGGGGGCAGCCTGGGCTGCCAGACCCTGTACCACCTGGCCAAGCTGGGCGTGAACAACCCTGTGCTTCTGGAGCGTGACCGGCTGACCTCGGGGACCACTTGGCACACAGCGGGTAGGGCCCTAGGGTGCTGGGAGGGTCAGGGCCAGCACGGACCCACAGGGCCAGTTCAGGGTCGGCAGGCTCAGGCTGCCAGCGGATGGCGGGGGGTACTGAGTAGAGGTTCAGGGTGCACCACTGGTCAGGGCAGGTTCAGGGAGGAGTGAGGAGGCCTGCTGGCCCGAGCTCCTGTCTTAGTGAATGAAAACCCATCCCCCACCGAGCCACTATGGGTGGAGAGCATCCATGGGGAAGCAAGGAGGTGAGGGGTGCAGGGCAGGGTCCTCTATGCCCACTAGGAACTTCTGCAGCGCCCACCTAGACTGACCTGGTAATTTTTATTAAGCACCTACTGTGTGCATATCCCAGAACACATGACTACCTGGCTCTCCTGCCGGTCTCGGGCACACACTCCCAGCGTGGCCAGTTCCAGAGGCCACTGTGAGGCCACTGACCACCGAGTTACCACTAGGTCACAAAGCCCCTAGGGAGGGTCCGCAACCTCTGCCCTCCCCCAAGACTGTCTCCCCTTCAAGCTCACACCCTCCAACTTCCTGGCCCCCTCTCCCACTGGTCAGGGAGTGGGCCCTCTGTGTCCCTGCAGTCCAGCTCCCAGAGGCCACGTCCACCCCTGAGGGGTGCATCCTGTGAGCTGCCCCAGGCGACCACACTAAGACACAGCTCTGACCCCGATATCTCCAGCTCAGAACCCGCGGGCTCCCCACGGCCTGCAGAGACAGCCTGGGTCAGACCTGCTGCCCCTCTTGGAGAAGGGGGTGCAGTGAGAGCTCACGGCCCGGTCCCCCCAGGCCTGCTGTGGCAGCTGCGTCCCAGCGACGTGGAGGTGGAGCTGCTGGCCCACACGCGCCGCGTGGTGAGCCGTGACCTGGAGGAAGAGACGGGGCTGCACACAGGCTGGATCCAGAACGGGGGGCTGTTCATCGCCTCCAACCGGCAGCGGCTGGACGAGTACAAGCGGCTCATGTCGGTGGGTGCGCGCCCGGGGCTGGGGGCGGGTCACGCGAGTAGGGGCCCAGGGAAGGCTCACCCCCGCTACCCGCAGATCTTGGGGCCCTGCTGGGGCAGACGGGAAGGTGCTACTTGCTGAGACGCGCCCCTGACTTTGTGGGAGCCGTGGATGGGGCACCTGGTGGCACAATGGTCCAGCGCTCGCTCAGCGGCTAACGCTCGAATCCACCAGCCGTCCCACGGCTCGGTTGGCGCTGGAATCGCTTCTCTGCTTTGGTTCGGTTTTGGGGACTGGGGGTGGGATTGGTCCCCCACCAGAGCAGCCAGGCTACCCCCCAACTTGCAATGCGCGGGGCGGAGGAGGGTCCCTTAGGACACACAGATGAACGTGGTTTGGGCCCCCGGGCTGCAGGCTCAAGGGTGGGACTCATGGGCCTGGGGGTGCCCGGGGGGAGGGGGCACAAGCTGTGGGGCAACGCCTGGGAGCCCACCGTGGACTCTGGGGACACCAGGTTGTGGGGTCTGCTTCTCGTCCCCCACCAGCTCATCTGTCCAAGGGTCTGCTCAAATCCCCAAGCTGAAGGCTCAGTCCCTGCCACGCCCCGTCTAGATTCCCGACCCCAGGCTTTGATTGGCTGTGCTCCC